TACTACCAGCAGTACCTCATCGACTAGCACGACAACAACAACAACAAAGACCACTACTACCAGCAGTACCTCATCGACTAGCACGACAACAACAACAACAACAAAGACCACTACTACCAGTACCTCATCGACTACCGCGACGACTACAACACAACCACGTAAGTTATTCTTGCTGAAAAATCCTATTACTTTTCTGTCATATATACCACAATGATAGAATGCGAACCAGACGGACATGGAAATTTGCTTATGTTAAATGGATCGACTCCTACTTCTTGGACTCAATATCGGTTTAATATCACAGCGACGGCCAGATCACATCTCATCATGTTTGGATTTCAGAATGGAAAGAATCGTATTTACTACTTGGATACAGTATCTGTTGTTGAACAAGGTGCATCTAGTATTGAGTTACTACAAAATCCAAGCTTTGAAAATTCAACAATAACACCAACTGGCTGGGTGCAGTGGTGTATAGACACGTGTAACGACAATCAAGGACTGATACATACTGGTTCTAACTGCTATACAAACACAGGCAATTGCTTTAAGGATAGCTGCAATGCTGCAAATGGTATCGATTTTCTTAGTCAATCATTTCCAACAATAATTGGCGGAAACTACATATTTTCGTTCAGACTTATATTAACTGGATCGGGTTCATTGACAAACAATCACTTTTACGTCGATATGTTCTAAAAACTATGTATTGCTACATGATACTTTCTTAAAAAAAGTTTTTTATATGCTCATTTCATTTAAGCTTGCCTTTCCTATTTTGATTTAATCTTTTGTGTGCATGGATATAATCGATTGAACTTTATTCGTATATAATCTCCATAATAAAATAAAATTGGTTCATATTCAGAGAAATAAGTAAAGATGTGGGTGTGAGTACACATGTACATGTTGACAAGACCTATACGCTTGAATACCGACGTAGAATAAATTGTCTTTTCTTTTTTCTTCGTAATATCACGAACAGATGACTCGTTTTTGTCGATGAATACAATTGTGAGTCGTAATGTACAATTCTACTATAACTTAAGTACAATAGAAAACATAAGGTATTAATGAAAGATACTAGTCGAACAGTAGATTTGTTTCTACAGGAAAGAGTTGCGTTCCGAATAGAGAATAGACTTAGCAGGTACTATTTTCAATACTGGAATCAAGATATTGACTAATTATTGAAACTAGAACTGATTTCATTTCTGATAATCGTTCGATGATAAACTCAAAATCTCATCGTATCATTATTACAAATGAAATGAGACGTATGTTTTCACACAGATAAATTTGTTCTTTTCCTTTTTTGTATTAATTTAACGTAATATGCTTCCAAACACAACGACGTACATTAAATAGTGGATTTGTCTTTCTTTTTACTTTTGAAAAAAAGTATAGATAAGAAAAATACTAAATATTTGGTTTGACTTAACGCATTTTTTGAATAATGATCATATAAAATGATGATCATCAGAATATGAAATACTTTCATTTCAAAGAAATCGAAAAGAGAAATAATGAAATATTTGATAGTGACTATTGTAGCTCTTTTCATTGATTAGAGCAGTGCTGCATCATCTGTTCAAGAATACATCGATCAAGTTCTCGCCTCATATTGATAATAAAGTAGATGTAATTGAGAACAATCCAGCATTGTTTAATCGAATCTATTGATTTTATTAAAAACAATATCCTAGTCAATCAATGACCAAAAGCATCGATATCAATCAAGCCAAACGAGTTCAAATATTCAATTCCAATTTAAAAGCAATGTTCACTTACAATCCTGATCCAAACTCGACATATAAATTAAAAATCAATGCAGTGAGTGATTGAACTAATAAAGATTCCGTCAATAATAATTAACCCGTTCAATCACAACAAAAGAAGAAAGTCATTGTACGATTGGATAAATCAAACTCGAGTTCTTAATGCAGTTCTCTAATGAAGAATCAATATTATTATGATTCATGTTATATCTTTGCCATGGTTGGAGCTCTCGAAAGACAAATGTTAAAATCTCGGTAGACAAGTTTTGTCATACAATTCGACGTATCGTTTTAATTATCATCTACTGTCAACATAGTATTAAGAATACATGAAACAGATTTTAGTATATGAAAAACGACCACTCTATAGTCCTTACAATGCTAGCAAACGAGAAGGAAATGAAACGATTTTTTGCAAAGCATTGTTAAAATTCAGTCATGATCTACTACAGTAAAATCTCTCTATTGTGAATATCGTTGAAACTATTCAAAAACTTTCACTATAAGGAATTGTTCACTTTATAGTGAAGCTCATTAGTTGAGGTTTTACTGTATGCTCAATCGAAGATTTTCGATTTGGTTGTTTTTTTGCTTATGTTATAGTGGCAAGTGTTTAATTAATATGTAGCCAAACTTACGACTCTTCATGATGTATCACACGTATTTTCATTTTGCTATGGAACAAATAAAACGACAAAATAGTACTGCTAATAGTAATAAGAAAAAGAAAGTAACAATTAATTCGAACAGATCAATCAAAATGGAAGATTTCTTTAGTTTTCAATTTTAATATTTAATTTTTTTTTTAATATCAATATTCGATTTCAAAATCTTTTTACTCATTCAACTCTTTCAATCAAAATCAACGTTTCAACGTTATTATACACATATTATTATATTTAACCAACGCACCAAATTAAATTACTTTATTTATAAAATCTATTTATCATTGATCATATTTTTTCATCAATTTCTATGAAATTAAAATTAACATGACTTGAAACACTTATTCTTAATAAGATTCAATTTATGTTCATAATAAAAATAATCTTTATAAATGAATATTTCATTTACCTGCATTAAAATATTTCCAACTATCATTATACGATTCCAATCAATCTGAACCATTACCTATTCCAACGAAAAAATTCAGCCTCATTGAACATTTTGTTTTAAGGATCGTCTTAGAAAAAAGTCACTTTTCATCAGAATGATCGAAACTAAGATAAATGCAGAAGAAGATAGCCCGTAATCTGATCTCTCATAAACGACAAAAATGTTTACTCGGAACGTCGTTTTTTTCAAAAATTTTTAAAAATTTCCGTCATCCCCTATTCGAAAAAACAAGCTGTTTTCAGAAAAAAAACCAAAAATCTTTTTCCTTTTTTTTTCTGTTGGAAAGAGTATGTCTGGATGCAGAGCACTATAGAGTCCTTTTTTTAAAATAAGCGTTTTTGTTATCATATAAGAAATATATCCTGAAATTTTCATGCCATTTGAATGTTCCTGGGCTGAGATCGATTTTTGACATGGTCTTAAAGGTTAAAATTTAGTATCAATTCAACAAAATGATACTTTTCGATTAGTTTTTCCCAAAAAAAAAACAATATTCAAAATATGATAATTTCATATCAATGTATATTAAAATAAATAAAATTTTTAGTTGATCTTTGTTCTTGATTACAACAACTAACAATCAAAGAAAACAACTGGCAGTGATATTGAATCTTTTTTCTCGATATTTATTATCAAATAATACTTTAATCAATAATATATCTAGTATGTAAAATTCTCACCTGGAAACTAATAAAGGCTGAAGTTAAAATCATTACTAGGTAAAGAGAAATCTAATAGAAAACTTACTTGAACATATTTATCCGTTTAGGGTTCGGCTATGAGACGAATCTGTTGAGAAAAACTCGAATTGTGACTTAAAATATCCTATGTCTAGATTGCACAATGATTTCAAATCATAGCACTCAATCGATGAAAGTTTAACTTTTATATATATATACATAGATAAAATCGATTTATTACTATTATAATTATTTCTGAGTCGTACATCGCTGTTTATGAGCAAATTCGAGAGTCATAAAGTGGATAATTTCATGAGTATTCAAAGTACATCATTGAGAAAGAGAAATTTGTTTGTATTGCAAATATGTATGTATTTGAAATAATGAAGAAAGTAGAATAATTAATGAATAATATCTTCATATTTGGGTAAAATCTCACTGGCCATGAAATCTTCATAACTCGGTGGTGATTTTTCTTCTTTTTTATTCGATAGACGCCGAAGAATTTCAGGTACAGATTTCAATTCGTCCATAATTTTTAATGGTTGTTGATGATCAGTAGTACACATAATCGGTAATGTTAATGTAAAATGATTATTAAATGAACAATATAAATGACATTGAATATGAAGTTCATATCGAACACTTTTATAAGATGATGTTGGCGCCATAAGTCGACATTTTTCCATTGGTATTGGTAATTCATATGTACTTTGACGATATTCACTATTGAATCCTTTTGATTTAAATCCTGGTAAAATAAAAGAAAAAATAATAAAATCAGTTTCTTGATCTGTTATAATTCGATATTGTTTGAGTGTTGCTCGAATCAATTTGATTGTTACTTTCATTGGATTGTTAATTTCAATTTGTAAACTGAGAGTTTGACCGGGTACAACAAGTCCATTATTTGAAAGAGCACCGTATAATTTTACACCTTTATGTTGTACACTTGTGTCAATGATATTATTCTGTAGCAATTGTCGAGTGACAACCGGCTTTGGTGTTCGTGTAAAGACGAGAAAAGAAAATTTTCGAGCAAAATCCGTATAATCAGCATGACGAAGATGAACAAGAGCATAATAACAAATGCATGGATCACACTCATCATCAGGTGGTAATGATGAAGGAAGGAAAGAATCTAATGAACCATCGAATGCCCATCTATAACTTTGAAGACGATTGATTTCCTTAAGAAAAATAATAATAATTAAGAGAGAAGATTCAGGAGAAAATAGAAACTTGTAATTTACGGCAGTATTCAGAAGTCTTACTTTGCAAGATAGATAGATAGATAGATAGATATATTCAAGTTATGAGTCAAATTCATTTTCCATTGATTTTCTTTGAATATAGCTTTACAATCGCTGCTCTTTATGATTTCATCCTCGAATCTTATCGAACCTATTGTACACAGCTATTAAAAAATTTATTGATTCGATTTGAAATTAAAATATTCGGATCTGCGATGAACTTGATTTTCTTCCTACAAAAAAATTTCTTTTAAATAAATATCTAACCAATTTTTGATTGTCATTTGGTAACTTTATCACTTGTGCTCGTCTTCGAAAGAATACATGAACACCTTTTGTGTAATGTTGATGAGTATTTGTTTTGAAATCATGTAATTCACCAATAAGTTCAACGTACAATGGACCATATTTGTGTGTCAAATCATTGTCATTATAATTTGTAGTAATTTGAACAATACCTTGAACTCGTTCACCGCTCAAATAAAAATCATTTGGTGTTTCACGAGTAAAGTTCAATTTATATGAAAATAAAAATGATGGAGCACTATTACCCATATCTATTTCTGTGTGTCTAGATCTATAGAATGTGGCAAAATAAGAGTGCAAGAGTAAACGATGAGAGGAAAAGAAAAAACAACTAGACAACGAAGATAGCACACGATAAAATTGCCTCGACTAGGAAAAAAGAGTGTCCTTGATAGAACGAAAGAAAAAAAAAATTAGTAAATAGTTTTCTTTGTACGATGACAAAGAGGAAACAGAAGAGATATGCACGTGCAATGGTTACAACATAACTTGATTGACAAGACGAAGTATTCTATACGAGGAAAATGTTTTACACTATTTGAAAGTGTGAGTTATTCTATTATGTCAACTGATAATTGCCTTAATTTTGTAGTGTTTACAAATAAAAAATAATTTCTATTTAAAGAAGATTTTATGAATGTAATACGATAAGTTTTTCAATAATTGGATATCGTTACATGTTTATTTCCTCGAACTGAAATGGAATACTTTAAGAAATCATAAAACAATCTTTTCAAATCAATTTTACCTTCATTTTGTAATTTTCTTTATTGAAAAAATTTTATTAAAAGAATAATATGTCTCTCGCTCGTCTATATTGGCATGAAGAGGGTGCGGGAGTTGATTCGATAAAGACCTGACACTCACACCTAGTTTGCAAGAACTTCTCGACTTTTAAGTATATAATAAATCGAATTTCTACTTAATATAGACTGATTTATGTTCCATCTATGGAATAATATGTACTGTAGAACATTCAATTCGCAAATTTAGAGTCAAGTGATCAGAACACTCTTGGAATTTGCTCAATTCAGATTTAACCAATTTCTTCTTCTTGTGTTTCTAACAATATCTTGTCTTACTATAATTGAAGATGTACTCTAGAAAAAATGCAGATCTTATAGCACTTGATAAAACTTTTGGATTAGTGGAATTATATTTTAATTGTACATTTGAACAGAAATAGCCATTCGATTTTGAATATTCATTATTCTACACAATAGACTATCGTCCTTTAATTGATGAACGGTGATTAATTTTGAGTAAAACTGATACAAATACGGTAGTACGAGGAAAGATCACTGAAAATCATATGTTTCTCAAGACTACTTTTCTTTTGTCTCTTCACTTTTGAAATATTCATTGTGTAGTAGCACATAGAATCACAATGTCAAAACTCAGCTCACACAGCACACGACAAGATCATGAAAAGAGTTTAACTTTCAATAAGATATATCAAAGGCCGAGAAATAATAGAGAGAGAGTGTTCCATACATGAAGTTGCAAACTATGGAAGCAATCCAACCATGTATGATTTGACAAAATCTATTTTGTACATCATTTTTGCATTGTGAACACATTATATTTTCTGTTAATGTGCTTTAACATAAGATGTATTTGGCGATGAAAGAGAACTGACAATGTCTGTTAGTCTACATTGAACAAATCATAATTTCAACAGAACAATCGTTCATCACGAACAAATTTAATTTAAACAATGATTATCATTTACAAAGTGACAAATAGACAATGACTAAGGAAAATGTAAGTATATGAATAATAAACAATATAGTCTATCAACATTATTTAAATTAAGACTAGCAAATCATATCAGTCAAAAGTCAAATGTCAAATCCAACATTTAATGTGTTTCGGCAATTTACCTGATGAAATTCTTCTCATGATTTATCGTTATTTATAATGATCGCATGGTTTCTTGCATATCTAAATATCATCGAATAATCGATTTATCCAAATGTTCCTAGACAGATTTTCTATTTTATATAAATTTATTCACTAATAGATCTCTTCGACCATCGACGTTGATAATAAGCAATATTTTGATGACAACACAGATTGAAACATTTTTTGATGAGTGTCGTATTGAATCATATATATAGAAAAATTTAACTTATTAAAATCCTTACATATCATTGAATCTGTATCGAATAAAAACGAATCGTCAATTAATTATCGAAACATTGAAAAACTTCGTGATTTGTTATTATGGAGTAATTTCGATGCATTCACCCCAGTAGAATTGAATATAAAAGAGGACATCACTCTCGACAAACAACTATGTCCCAAACAATATCTCAAACAATTGACTATTACACTACAGACAATTGATGATCTATTTATATTATTCGACGATCTGACGCCTAATTTAATCTTGCTTAATGTTACTATATGTCAATCTGACGTATGTATACGATCACCACCGATACCACAATTTTGGGCACGTCAATTTATGTTACATTTGATTGAATTTCGAATAACGACTGATGAACAAGTGTTATTTACATTTAATCATTTACGTGGAATTGTTATACCTTTGATTCAACTTGAAAAATTCACACTCGATGTAAGATAATGGATTAGTAACAATAAACAATTTGTAGAAGACGATCAAAATCATTCAAATACTAAATATCATTCATAAGCACGATATTGTCATCATAAATTTTCTTTTTTCAGACTTTTGCGACACTAAATAAACGTTGGCTTTTAACATACAAATCGAAATCAAATGGTCTATATACACATTTTTACACAATTCCATGGTCATTCGAACAACTTAACATATCAATGTTGGCGAATGATGATACGATCAGTATCTGTCCGAATTTTCGATTTCTAACTATCGATGCACCATGTACAAATTTATCACAACATTTTCCAAACATTCACACGCTCAACGTTCTACACGATTGTAATTTCTCTAATGATGATCATGTTGAATTTCGTCGACTTCGTCATTTAAAAACAACCAATATCAATATAGTTCCATATCTTCCGACAAAACACATTCATACACTGACATTATATAGCAAATTCGAATTGTTGAAACATCCAATTATTTATTCCAATGTGTTACATTTGATCTTGGAAAATAGACAAATTGATTCGTTGAATATTGTTAATACACTTGTAAAATCCTTTCCCAATCTTTGTTCACTCAAAATTCAATTTCAAACAAATGCTGAATATTACGATTGTCTCGATTGAATCGATCGATTCAATTACTATTCGAATATTTTAATATGGATATCTACCAAGATGCCTTTGAAATGAAAATCGACTCCATTTTATGGACATTGTGATCAAAAGGACTTGACTATTTGTCTGTGAAAATATTTCTGTAAAAAAATTCTTGACGTTGTATCCTTCTCACCATAAAATATACTTGTGATGTATTTATGAGTATACTGTAATAATCGTTTACAATTAAAAGAAAAGAAAAACGAGCAATTGTAAAGAAATGAGGAACAAGCAAAAGAAAAATTATAATTTTGTTTCTGTAATATATCAATCTTATCTGTTTGATTATCTTCTTTGTTTCTAACTGAATTATTGTGATTATGAAATCAATCTATTTTTCTTGTACTTACCTTGGTAAAATCATTCTTTATATATTCGTTAATTTTCCTCTCATTTTTCATTCTTCTCCTTCCTGTAGACATAAAACTATTAATGTAATTTCATAATCAAATATGTACTTTTTCGTGTCATTTTTTTGTGGTTTACCTTGTCCTATTCATCGTTGTATTTTTTTGCGTCAAAGGAACGACGTTCATTCATGACAAAGAAGCGTAAGAATACACCACACACTTCATTATTTAAATAAAGCAATATTCTATATATATATAATTACTGTTGACGCTACGTCTATTACAATCCGTGACGATCAAAGACTCTTGTTCTCTATTTCAACACAATTTTTATTTCATATCTCACAAAAATAGTCTATGAGATAAACTTCAGTACTACAAATGGTTCAATCAATTAAAACAATAGTATAGATTAGTCAATAGAAGTTACCAAGAGTACAACTTTAAAATGAACTAAATCAGAAAGTATCATGTAGCAAAATTTCTAGATTTCATTTAATAACTTATTTTACAAGTACTATCAACAGAATGAAATAATTATACAAGAAATTTCTCGGAAATGAAAAGAAGTAGTAAGTACTTATAATCATCGTGAATGATAGAGACCGATATTCACTACCGTTTTTTTTTGTCGAATGTATCCAAAATTCTTTCTGCTGAATAATTAAATACTAAGATAGAGCTGAAACGATTGGTCCAACGGTTATCTATGATTGAATACAAATGTGTGCAAAGTTTCTATTCCATTTCATATTTAGTGTCACGAATTCTAGAAAACTTGTTCATACGATCACTGCCCATATTTATCTTGTCATACGTAGATACTATAGAAAATACAAAATGTTTTATTTTCTTTGATATTTTATAGATTAAAACAAAGGACATTTTTGTGTATTACAATCAATAAATTTTTGATTTGAATATTTATTCTTATTGAAAAAAAAATTTGTTCAAATGTTTTTTATTTAATTTTCTATTGATACTCATAAAACATCGTAGAAATATTCGTCAATAACAACAGATCCGAAAGTATATATACAATCTATTATTGCCTGTGTATCGTCTGGTATTGAAATCATTGCTAAATCTAAAAAATATGTATATTTTATAACTTGAAAATTGAAACAAAAAACTTTCGTTTTTTTTTCTTACATGGACTTTGAATTATTGTAGCAGCTCCATCAATTGGTGTACAAATCAGATCAGACCACGATTGATAAAGTGACATATTTACGCACTATAAATGATATGAAATAGTAATTTTGACTATATTTACTACTGTGTTTATATATAAATGATCAATAAAAAAACATCTTTTTCTCACTACGTAGCTATAATGATATATACGCAGTGATTCTCCGAACCATTCAAAATTGAATGGGAGTCATGGTGTTTTTGCAAAGGAAGGGTATATAAGACAAAATTAGAAATTTCTCACGGTTTAGGGTATGTCACAAATACTGCTCCGAATATGCTTCTGATTGATTTTTTTCTTATTAAAAAAAACAAAATTAGTATCATTATAGATGCTATGACAAGTGAAAAATATATCAAGGTAATGATTATTTACATATATGAAAAGAAGAAAAATGATTGTATGTTGTTTTCGAATTGTAGCTGACGGTTCTTTCATTGATATATATATACCAACAGCACCATGAATAGGAAAAATTTTGATTCAAATCAGATATTGAATACGTAATTATTTATTGTCTTTTTTTAATATGCGTAAAAGAATGAAAATCTATGTATTTATTCGTTAACAACTGTTTAGATAAAACCATAAATCGAAATTTTTTTCTAACTACAAAAAATTGTATCATTAGTATTTATTTATTTTTTGCTCAATTTGTGATGCATTATGTATATCTACAGAGAGATTAGAATGTGAAATAAATAATCTAGAATCAATAATTGTTTTATTTATCATATATCATGAAATCTAGATAATTTTCAGCATTTTGTTCAATGTCATTTCAGATGAATATATTTCGATTTTCAAGTTAAAATAATTATGATTATAAAAAGTAATTCTAATTTGTCTTGTCATTTTTTTTTCGTTGTGAATACAGCTTAGACAATTTATATCATATATTAGAAGTAATTGAAGTCTATAATGAATACGATAGTGTCGAATAATTATTTACAAATGCTTTTTTGTTCTTGATTAACAACTGGCAATGTGTTAACTATTATTGACTCAAAAAATTTGAAAAGAGATGAGAAATTATATATACTGATCATGTTGTTCTATGATAAATATGGAAGAACATTAAAGTATTTATATTAGATAAATTCTCGAACTTAAATATTTATTTTTATTAAAAAAAAAGTTATTTATCTAAGTGATTGTTGATTCCGATGAAATGTTGCCATATTCATCATAGAATATACGTACACAATTAGGTCTTAAATCAAGTGTTACGGGTGACTCTGCTTCTAATTTGATTACATTTAAATCTATAAGAAATAGACAATATTTCATCTATAAATTTCAATTAATAGTTATGAACTTCTCTTGCTTGAATTTTTCGTTTTAATCATTGTAATAGCGTCATCAACTGGTTTATCAACAAGTTCAGGTCACGATTTTTCTTACTTGTTCTATTTATGAAATTCGAATATTAAGGGACGAAAAAAAATATATGTTTTGCTTGTTATTATCTGTACTATTGATTATGCGCAAAATAAATGGATATCATTTGATATTCATATAACCCATGTAACAAATCAAATAAATGTCCAGGTAGTAAATATAGCTATTTGTGATTAAAAAAATAGATAAGCATATTTGTTTTTTATTTTAAATCGAATGATATTAATGTGTTGGATTCAGGTTGAAGTATAATATTATCAAGTGATTAATAGAAAAAATTATAAATCGGTTTTCTTTTAGATTAGATAATAATTACAAGAAATAGAGAAAAATTTTCAGTAAAAAATATTCAATAATAGAAATGAATCGAGGCTGAAAAATTAAGAAGATTTTAGTTCAAGTCAAAAGCTGAATACATAAATATTTACCATTTCTTTTCATATCCGTACGACTACAATTACTTATACTTTTTCTAGATTATTAAATCATTTAAAATATGAATAATATCTGCTCCTAAATCATAACAAATCTAAAGAGTCTATATAAAATATCGCTGAATCACTTAATATTTACTTACTAATAATTCTTCAAGTAGATCGACAAATTGCATCAATAGTATTGAAATTTTTTTCGTTTCATTCGTTGTTGATATTTCAGAAAGCATTCTTTCGTACTGTAGATTAAAATATCGAATATTTTGCAAATATCTCAGCATAAATAAATTATAAAATCTTAAATTTTTCTTTTTAAATATGATTCATCAAATTCTCGATAAAAATAACAATGAAAAATTCCAGTGAGTTATTTTGATAGCTCCCTTTTACGATTAAAACTGAATGATTGCACGATGATGAAATGCTCGATTATTCTGAGAGAACTCCGTTCGATCATTCACGACTATACACAACAACGGTTTTAAATATAGTTGCAGTGTTTTCTATTCTATTTGTACATAAAACACTCGTTAACGTCGATGATTTATTCAACTCTGACTCTATCAAACTTCATAAAACTTGTAGTCATATGAGTTTAGGTGCAAGTATACAAGGGTGAATGCACAAGGATATTAATACAAGCATATAGCGTGAGATATACTCAAAAGCATATATGTGGTATGGTAAAAAAATAAAACTTTCCTTGTAGCTCCCGTTTTAGTTGGTGACAGTCATGAGTTGTAATATGTACTGGCGTGCTTATTGGTTGTATGATCGTTTTATAACAGGAATATGGTGTAAATGATGTGCAAATTTGATTGTATACGCCACGATATTACATCATAACACCGTAGTTCTGCTTATTTTCACCTATTTAACTTTCTGAAGTCGATAGCATCTACGATGTACCATCTTTCCTTCAGTAAATGATATGATACTAGTAGTAAGATCTCCCTTCGCTAGAGCTGAGTAGGTAAATTCTGAAAGAATTCTTTCTGAGAAGAAATCTAAATTATAATAACCCCAAACATAATGTTTATTTTGCTAATTATATATATTTGCCAATGAAATAAACACGGATAAAATATGCCTATCATAATCAAGTGCATAGCTAACTATTTCGTATTATTTGCTTAGCATAGTTATCTTGACGTCCGTGAACTTTTCCCGCTCACGAATTTCACAGTCATGGAAAGTAATCGAAGCTCAAGTCACATATCGAATGTTATATTTGTCTGTTGTAATAGAAATGATTGATTTGTATTTATAATCTTTATTTGAAAACATATTCAAATTTGGATTCTAGATAAAAGTCGTTACTTGTCAAATTTTGTTTAATTTGACTCTCTCAATTTATTTTATTTGAAAAGAAAACTGATATATTATTTTATCTCATGATAATTTGTTTTATTCGTGTGTTTTTAATCTCTAGATTGAACCGACAAGACTTACTATGGTTGACTAATTTATTCCACATTAATCTATTATCTGACTCAAAATAAAAGATATGTCACTATCTTGCGAAGACGTTTTTCTCGATGAAAACGATAAAGACTTAAGATGCGTCGTTATTTTAAAGGGTAGGTTTCGTAAGAAATCCTTTTTTTCGCAAAATAACTTATCGATTCATATCTATTGGTACTATAATCCACTGAAAGTATTCCAAACCCATGCTACTAGTAAATCTTACGTTGAATATTCTTTATTTATCGATATTCTATAGAATGAGTGGCACTTCTGAGTTCTATCGTATATTATTTTCATGGTTAATTCGCTTTACTTTGAATAACTGTGCTCTGTCTAAACTCTATGAAATGCTCAATGTAAATGTGCCGTTTCTAACTTACAATTAGCAAGAAAAAAAACAGAATTTATCTGATTGGTTTTCTTAAAATCCTAAAACAAATTCAGATTGCATAAATTTTTTATTTTTTCTTTTATTATTATATTAAGAAAAACAAAATAAGAGACTATGCGTGAATGCTGGGTAGATTAGGTTCAAGAGTTTTCGTTTTGATAAGTCACTACTTTTGGCCTTCCGCGCATGTTATTCAAATATATCAGTATGTTCTATTGAAATGAGATTAATAGTAAGTAATAACAAATTGATGCGATATAGTGAACGAAAGAAAACAAAATTGGTTGTTAAAGACATTTCATAACTTTGTTGATGTCATCTACTTCAAATAGTATATTCAAAATCGATTATGTCATCATATAGATAACACTTATTTATGAAAGGGTGTGGGTGTGGGTAGGTATGGATGTGCTTGTGTGGGGGTGGGTGTCCGTATCTTTGCATGGACACCCACACCCTGCATTCACACTCCGCACCCGCCACCACACCGACACCCACACCCTACACCCCACACCCACACTCACCCACACATCCACACCTACACCCACACTCTGAATTTTGATTATAATGCATTTTACACGCCTTTTCAATAGCTAATTAATTACAATTGATTCATGTAGCGATATTGATTTAAAAATTTCTATTTTTGATATTTAGAAAGAAAAAAATAAAGATTTTGCTATGTCGTATTTAAGAATATTCAAGATATATATATATGAATAAATTCGTTTTATTAAATAGTATAATAGCTGTATGCTTAAGCAAAGTTATGAATTCGTCCATTTTCATAATTTATGTTAACGAATTAGTTCCTGATTAATACTAAAGGATTGTTCTTTAAGGCAGATAGAGTACTGTATGCTTGTCATTGGAGTCGCGCCGAAGATATTCTTTTTCGATTAATAAGTCAATACATTTCTAGAATGTTAACTGGCATTATTAAATCATTCATTTCTTCCAGTACACAAAGATGAGTTTACCTTAGTTAAAGGAATTTTTGGTTTGAAACGTAAGCTTAATTTTTCAATAACTTCTTGCGTCAATAATGAATATTTTAAAAACTTTCGTTCTTTCATTATTCGAACAACAGAAGCCTATAAGCAAAACTATGAATTTTAACAAGCATGCATTTTACTGATTATTCTCACTTGAATAACTAATTCACGGTCATTTTCAATCGTTTCATTTATATCTTTTTCTCTGGTTGGCTCAGATCCCATACTTAAATTTACTCGAATTCTTTCACTATAATGAAAAATTAAAAACAACGATTTGATTTAAGATATTACAATTTTACCTTGTAAATTCATTATGTAATTTAATTTTAGAATTCATTTTAATATCACTCTCTCGAAAATCTTCTTCGAGTTCATCGAAGCATAATATT